AAATTACAGGAACAGGCGGCCTCTCACTGCCCACATCATTCATAACTCTTGCACTAATGCCTCTCCCTCAGCCTCTTCCTGTGATCTCACGGGCAAGTCCCCATGGCCAGCTGTATCAGTTATTTCTTGCTGCAGTAATACTCTAACAACCAAAAACAATCACAAAATCTTTATGGCAAACAACGAGCACTGGTTACTCACACAACCAGGGTCAGCTGGGACTCAGGCGGGCAGGTTTTCTGATCTCGGCTGGTCTTGTTCATGTCTTGGGTTGACTGGTGGATGAACAATTCTGCTCTGCTCCACACACCTCTCACCCTCCACCAGACTATCCCAGCCATGTTCTTATGTCAGTAAGAGGCACCAGAGAAGGTAAGACCAATCAGCCAAGTATTTTTCACGACTCTACTTGGATCACACTTGCTAACATTCCACCGGTCCAAAGAACATTACATGGTTAGTAACGTTCAGAGTTCAGAATCAAAAGTCGAGGCAGACTGCTCCACCCAGAGTGGGAGGGCAATGCAAGATTATATGGCAAAGGACATGGAGATAGGGAGAACTGAAGAACTGAAGTTTTTTTGCAACATTAGTATGCTAGCTGACAGGGGAGGGAAGAGCAGATCTTATTCAAACATGGACTAGTTTGATTTATTGGTGTGAGCCAGAAATGGCGGGCTGTCACCCTGTTGCTCTAGGAATTAGTGGCGGGGGAAGAAATTCCTCCTGATAGAGCTTTAAACAGCACACTTTGTCACCACATTGATAGATGTGACCTGAGTTAAGAACACAGACTTTTTAATTCAGGGGATATATGTGCAGGCTTGTTACATGGGTATATCGTGTGATGATTTCTGTTAAACCCATCTCCCGAATAGCAAGCATGGTATCCAATAGGTAGCTTTTCAGTCCTTGCCTCCCCTCCGCCACTTAGGAGTTCCCCGTGTCTGTTGTCTGTACCTTTACGTCCAAATGTATTCAGTGTTCAGCTCCTACTGATTGGTTTTCTGCTTATGTTAATTTGTTTACAATAATGGTCTGCAGCTGTACCCATGTTGCTGCAAAGGACATGGTTCCGTTCTTTTTTATGGCTGCGTGGTATTCCATGGTGTATATGTACCATGTTTTCTGCACCTAGATTGGTTCCATGTCTTTGCTTCTAGAACACAGACTTTTGATCTTGGTACTGGCTTGGCTGATTAGGGGCAAGACTGGAAAATTAGAGAAAGAGAGATCTGAAGATGTGGCATGTGAACAAAGCTATGGGAATATGTACACAGTGTGGAGAACTGTTTATGATAAACTGCCAAAAAGAGAACCCTTGTGTGGGGAGGCCGAGATCAGGCGGATCAGAGGAAAGATTCCTCCAGGAGCCATCAGCCAGTCTGTCCCTGATCACCCCAGGTGCACTCAAGGAGCCCATGAATTAGCCATCATGGTGGCAGAGGTGGAGGCCATGCATGGGCCCAGCAGCTTGGGCTTCCTCTCACTAAGGCTAACCTAACTGCCACCACTGCTGAGTATCCAATGTCAGGAGCGGAGACTGAATTGGCATACTTCCTTGAAGAAGCTTATCAGTCACTTGGGAGCAAGTTATTTGTACTAAATTCCTTCTACCCTGGAGGCGGAAGCAATTCTTTCCTGCTGTAGTTAGTGCTTACTCTTGGTATGGGCTTTCTTTTCCTTCAGGCACATTTCTGCTGGCATTCCCATTTGATCACCTGCAGAGTGCATGGTACCAGTACAATTTCCTGAATTGCACAGCCTCAGATATCGGGACTATTTTGTAGCAAATGAAGAGCAACATTAGGTGCATGAACTACCGGATCTACTGGTCTTACCATATACAGCATTATCCAGAAAAGTCAACCGAATAGAACAACGAAATGGTCCATTATAGGCTCAGCCTAGGCACTAGCTTGGAGGTGACATCTAGAGGCTTGAGGTGTTCTCCAGGATACGGTACGTGCACTATAAAAATGGTCATGCCATGTCCCCAACTGCTAGAACTCACGGATCCAGAACAGACAGGATAGGAATAGGAATGGCCCTTCTTACCACCATTTCCAGTGACTGGCTTTCATAATTGTATATCCCTGCCACCTTAGACTTTGCTGGAAGTCCTGGTTCCCAGACAGGGCAGGGGGAAGGAGTGAGCACACTTCCACAGAGAACACAGTAAGGATTTCACTATACTGTTGCTACTGTTGCCAACCGCTGCCAACCAGTCCCTTTGGACTGCTCCTATCTGTGGGAGACAAAAAAAATAAAATAAAATAAGGAGTTAATATGTTGATTAATATGAGGACCTAAAGTTGTGATTATACAATGAAACAGAGAGAATGTATCTGGAACTCAGGTGATTCATTCAGGCACATCTTGGTGCTATACAGCATAACAGACAGTAATTGTGATAACCATACTCTAAAAAGGACAAAGTAATCAAGGTCCTTGACATCTCCAGGGATGAAGGTCTTGGGTCACTCTACCAGGCAACCGACCTAGACCAGCTGAATTTCTGGGAGACAGCAAGAAACACTTAAAAGGTGTGGGGGAGGAAGGAGACTATGATGTTTTGGCCTTGGGTTCAGTCGCAGCAATGGTAACCATAGCTTGTCTCACGAATCCTCTCATGTCGTTTTTTTTTTAAGACTGGCTGGCCATCACCATGAAGACCTGGTGATGGAGTGGACTTAACAGGGGACTCAAGCAGTTCTGAGGAGTCAAGGGAAGACAGCAGCAGATGCCTCTTCTGGCCCACACCACATTCTCTTGGCCGTCTCTGAGATCAGTCACAGCTGCACTGGACAGTTCTAAGTGAGCTCAGGCTTGTCCTCTTTGTTGAGGAAATCCCACTGCCAGTATAAGCCATGCATCTTTCTGCCTTCTGTTCCGTGTCCTTCTTCAGCACTGGAAAGTCTGCTTTCTACAAAGTACAACCCAGAAGTGCAGGGGCAGCAAGTGATCCTGGAGGCAACGCTCAACGAACGGGGGATAGAAATTGGTTAATAAATCATCCCAGTTCTAGGAGGTGGACAATTCTGGGAGGCATTCTGAGAGTTTCTCAGGGGGTCTTGGAGCACTCAAGCCCAGATGGCACCCTTGATAACGTAGCTGTCTAGTCCGCTCTCCCTGTTCTCTCCTTTCTGCTTTCTGGGATCACCTCACAAATGACCTATGGGCTGTACTTCCTGGTGACCTAAACTGAGCACCATTAGTCAAATAGATGTATGTCTTTCCATGTAAGTATTTTAGGGATCTTCTAGACTGTGTGTGAATAATCACTTATACAGAATTATTTGCAAGGTGAGGTGAGAACATTTTAACCCCATGCAATTTAATTTTTTTGTTTAGGTAATAAGGAGCTTATGCCAATGGTGGTTGCTCATTCTGAACCCCATTTAAAAATCTTCAACTTAATTTCCATCTTACATAATACAGTCATATGCCACATAATGATAACCTGCCTATTTGACAGTGGTCCCATAAGATTATAATGCTGTATTTTTATAGTCCCTTTTATATGTTTAGATACACAAGCACCATTGTGTCACACCGCCTACAACACTCAGTACTCACATGCTGTCCTGGCTTGCAGCCCAGAAGCAACGGGCTACCCCATATAGCCTAGGTGTGCAGCAGACTATCTAGGTTTGTGTAAGCAGTCGATGATGTTCACAGGATGAGCTTGCCTAACAGTTCATTTCTTAGAACACGTCTCTGTTGTTAAACAACACATGACCACTACAGATAAGATTATCTGACTTAAAAAATATATAAATTAGGCTGGGAGGTCGAGGTAGGAGGATCGCTTGAGTTCAGGAGTTCAAGACCAGCCTGGGTAACATAGTGAGGCCTCGTCTCCACAAAAAATAATAATAAAAAAAATTAGCCAGGCATGGTGGTACACATCTTTAGTCCCAGCTACTTGAGGCAGAAGGATCACTTGAGCCCAGGAGGTCAAGGCTGCAGTGGGCTAGGATTATACTCCAACTCAAATAATAATAATAATAATAATAATAATAATAGCAAAGTGGAGAAAAGCTGTATATGCTGATACTACCAATAAGTTCCACATCCACAAAATGACATATAACTCTCAAGTTACCACGGAAAATTTCAACCCAGTATTACTTTCCACCAGAAATTTCTTAACAACTCTTGATATGAATGCTAAAATGTTCACAAAAATCGAAGTTAGCCAAATTCATTTTTTTTTTGCATTGAGTCTGTTATTGATCATTAATCAAACGGACTGCATTTTAAAATGTTCACTGCATCCCTAAAATATTCCATCTCTTTTTAAAAAACTTTTTTGAACCAGGCATGGTGGCTCATGCCTGTAATCCCAGCACTCTGAGAGGTGGAGGCTTGGGCAACTTGGCAAGACCTTGTCTCTACAATAAATCAAAAAATTAGCTGGGCGTGGTGGCGCACCTGTAATTCCAGCTACTTGGAAAGCTGAGGCAGAAGGATCATCTGAGCCCAGCAGGTCGAGGCTGCAGTGGCCATGAACGTGCCACTGCACTCAAACCTGGTCGACAGAGTGAAACTTGGACTTAAAAAAAAAAAAAAAAAAAAATATATATATATATATATATATATATATATATATATATATATTTTGAGATAGTGCCTCACTCTGTCACCTAGGCTGGAGTGTAGTGGCACAATCCCGGCTCACCACAGCCTCAGTCTCCTGGGCTCAAGTCATCCTCCCACCTCAGCCTCCCTAGTAGCTGGGACTATAGCGCCCACCACCATGCCTGGCTAATTTTAAAAACGTTTTGTAGAGACGAGTCTTGCTAGGCCACCCAGGCTGGTCTCGAACTCCTGGGCTCAAGTGACTCTCCTGACTTTGCCTCCCCATGTGCTAGGGTTACAGATGTGAGCCACTATACCTGGTTGTTCACCTTAGCATTTGCAGCATTAACGGCATTTTGTTTAGGTTATTCTATTTTTATTTCAGGGCCCTTTATTTTAGTAATAAGACATACTGGTAGGTTATAAATGCTTTATTTTTGTTAACACAGAGGAAGCTTGGTGTGGATATGTGGCCATTTGATGTTTTCAGGACTAAGAGTTACAGGCAGGCGCGCTTTCTTCTAGAATGTAAATAAATGTACCCCTACACACGCATATGCATTTCTTATCAAAATCGAGCTTAGTCACTGAAAGATGATTCGCTATCTGAACTTTCTTCTGCAGTTTTTTCACTTTCACCATCAGGCACTGGAGCATCTGGCCTCCTAAAAGAGAAGAAGAAAAAAATTTTAAAGGTTTTTTCCAACTGAAAAAAAGCACTTACAAATTGTAAATTAGGTTCATCTTAGAATAATGCCGCTACGAAATCTGCCAAGTCTGCGTCCTTAACCGAGGGAGTCTCCTGCCCTACACCGCAGCGCGCTTCTCTCTGGCTTCCTCGGCACCATGGGGATTAAACGCTATTCCTGCAGAGGCCACGGCACTCTTTTCTCTTGCCAGTCCTTACACAATGTGCTGCTTCAGCACTTCTTGCTTCTCATTGCCATGGAGACCCAACTATAGACAGAGATGCGATCTGGAGAGGCTGGCATGACCAGTACTGAATCCCTGAAGCCTCCAAGTGTGCATGAGGCACAAAAAAGGGAAGCTAGAAATGGAAAGAAAAAGAAAGCGTTCATGTTCAGGAAAGCTGAGGGGAGAAGTTCAGAAACTGAAGTGAACTCAAAAATGGCTACTAAAACACATAGGCAATATGGAATTTCTTGCGGAAGGCAAATGCCTGGTCAAAGGTTCTTCGTGTTTGCTGAAGGTTTTTGCTAACATGCTTTATCTTTAGAAAATGCCTATAAAAAGTATGACTTGGCAAAATGATTATTTCAAATATCCTGCAGGCATAATAAGGAGACATGAGAAAGGTTAGGTTCCAAATGTGCATGGATATGTAATAATAAACCAAAAAGATATTGTAATGGTGCTATTAAAGCAGACAACTAGTCAGGCCCCAATAGTGCTGCTACCAGTAAATCGTTTAATCGATATAATGACACTATCACTCAGCCTCTGTTCACTCTTACCAAGACAGTAAATTAAGCTAGGAAAGTATTATTTTTGGGAAAACTAAGAGGAAAGAAAAAGTAGTATAGCTGCTATGCCTTCATAATTAAAAACTACCAGACTTATTTCTCCCTTAGGTTCCTTGATTATTTATTGAAGATTTAGGACACTCAACATTCAAGACTTTTTTTAAACCACAAATACAAATTATTATTACCAACAAGAAAATGTATAGTCTAATAGTTAGTTTTAAGTATTAAAAATTATGGTTTATATTTTAAAATACATTTGGCATGCTATAAAACAGAACGAAATGCTGGCATTACTCCACAGCTGTCCAATAAAAACCCATTTGCTCTGTTGAACTAGTTTAGATTATGCCTATAAGGAAGCCACACATAGCCAGTGCAGTAAAACTTTAAAGCTGGGAACAGCATTTCCAGGATTTGGCTGACGCTCCACCTGTCTAGAACACGAACAGAAAACCACCATTTTCCTCGCTCATTATTAGAACCAATGACTCCAGAAACGAACATTGGGCACACTTTTCCCTGTACACTTCTCTCTGCTACAGAGTCGATTTCTGACTGTTTTCACTTTGTTAAAATGGAAAACATTACCACGGGGAATTCTTTCAATATCACATCAAAATTATATGAGTATCTATGACAACTAAACAAATAAAACCACATACAAAACTTCCTATCATAAATGTTACTTAAGAAGAGGGTAAAGCAACTTAGGTCTAGAAGGGAGTTTAGGAAACTATGAAATTAATTTATGTGTGTAACCATCTATTGATACATATTAGGCTATACTGCATAGTAGTTAAGAACACAGACTAAAGGGCCAGACTTCCTGAGTTCAAATCCAGCCTTGTTTCTTGCTTGTTGGGCAACTCTGGGGAAGCGATTTAACTACTTTCTACCCAACTAACTGACTGGATAGTTTGATGATTACGTTAATTAGGAAATGTAAACTATGTTGAATGATATCTGGCATATAGTAAATATTAAATACCTGCACCTACCATTTGCTAGAAATGGTGTTGGGAACTAGAGATACAGAGAAAAAAAACCAAGCGGCTTCTGCCCTGAAATGGCTAAGATTGTAGTGGGAGAGACAGAATTGCAAACAAATTCTTGTCATAGAGTGTGACACAGTCATGTGCCACATCATGACGTTTTAGTCAATGACGGACCACATAGATGACAATGGTCCCAAGAGATTATAACAGAGCTGAGAAATTTCTATCGCTTAGTATTTACTATATTATACTCTTCATCATTATTTTAGAGTGTACTCCTTCTACTTCTTTTTTTTTTTTTTTTTAAAGTTAACTGTAAACCAGTCCTACGCAGCTCCTTCAGGGGTATTACAGAAGAAGGCGTTGTCATCATAGGAGGTGACAGCTCCATGCATGTTGTTGCCCTGAAGACCGTCCAGTGGGGCAAGATGTGGAGGCAGAAGACAGTGATATGGATGATCCTGACCCGTGGAGTCCTAGGCTCACATGTGTGTTTATGTCTTAGTTTTTAGCAAAAAATTTTAAGAAGTGAAAAAAAAAATACAAAATCTAAAAACAGAAAAAGTTCATAGAAGACATAAAGGAATAAATTATTTTTGCACAGCTATACAATGTATTTGTGCTTTGAGCTATGTGCTATCACAGAGGAGTCAAAGCCAGGCATGGTGACTCATGCTTATAACCCTGGTGCTTTTGGAGGCCAAGGTGGGAGGATTGCTTAAGGTCAGAAGTTGGAGAACAGCCTGGGCAACATAGTGAGACCCTATGTATACGAAAACATATTTTTAAAAAATCAGCTGGGTGTGATGACAAAGGCCTGTAGTTCCAGCTCCTGGGGAGGCAGAAGTGGGAGGATTGCTTGAGCCCAGGAATTTGGGGTTACAGTGAGCTATGACTGCATCACGGCACTCCAGCCTGGGCACAGAGTGAGACCTTGTCTCTAAAACAAAACAAAACAAAACAGGGTCAAAAAGGCAAAAAAAAGGTTATAAAGTTACAGTGAGCTATGATTTATTACTGAAGAGAGAAAGATATTTTAAAATAAATTTCGTACAGCCTAAACGTTTATAAAATTTACAGCGGTATACCATGATGTCTCAGGTCTTCACATTCACTTGCTATTCACTGACCCAGAGCAATCTTCAGTCCCGCAAACTCTATTCATGGTAAGTGCCCTAAATAGGTGTACCACTTTTAAATCTTTTATATAACTTTTTTTTTTTTTTTTTGAGTTAGAGTCTCTGTTGCCCAGGCTGGAGTGCAGTGGCATGCTCACAACCACCGCAGCCTCGACCTGCTGGGCTCAGACAATCCTTCCATATCAGCCTTCCAAGTAGCTGGAACTACAGGCACACACCACCATGCCCGCCTAATTTTTTGATTGATTGTAGAGACAAGTTCTCACCAAGTTGCCCAGGCTGGTCTTGAACCACTGGACTCAGGCAATTCTCTCGTCTCGGCCTTCCAGAGTGCTGGGATTACAGGCTTGAGCCACTGCACCCGGCCTTTATACAGCATTTTTACTACACCTTTTCTATGTTTAGATATGCTTAAATACATAAATACTTACCACTGTGCTACAACTGCCTACAGTGTTAGGTACAACAGCACGCTGCACAAGTTTATAGCTTAGGTGTATAAAGGCAGGCTACACCACCTCGGCTTGTGTAAATACAACAACAAAATCACCTAATGACATATTTCTCATAACATAACGCTGTCATTAAGTAATGCATGACTGTGTATATACAAATACAGTTGAACTATCTCTATGTGAAAAGAAAATGTAATCAACTCTGCTACAGTTGGTCAGAGAAGACTCCAAATAGTTGGAGACACTTGGGAAACGTTTTGCGATATGAGTTTGCCAGATACAGGAAACATGAAAATAAGAATAAGAATGAGAACATTCTGGGTAAAGAATAAAACAGGAAAGGTGTATGTAGCACTTGCAAAGGTTGTTTGGTGGCTGGAGAGTAAGGTGTACTGGGTGGAGCAACAAATTAGACCATATGGCAGGAGCAAGAGGTGAAGGGTGGGGAAAGGTTATGGAATGTAAGTTTTCACTGAAATAGCACAACCAAACTCGGGATTCTCAAGTACTTGTTTATTTTTAAAATGAAAATAAAACCCACCATTTTAAAGTGTATAAATTAGTAGTTTTTAGTATATTCCTAAGGCTGCACAACTATTACCACTACATACTTCCAGAACATTTTCATCATCCCAAAAAGAAACCTGTACCCATTAGCAAACACTCTACACTCCCTTTACCCCTACTCTGGCAACCAGTATCTACTACTTCCTGTGTGTGGATTCACCTATTCTGGACATCTCAGGTAAGTGGGATCATCTGGCCTTTGGGTCTAGCTTCCTTCACCTAGCACAATGTTTTCTTTCTTTTCTTTTTTGAGTCGGAGTCGCACTCTTGTCGCCCAGGGCTCACAGCCACTGCAGCCTCGACCTGCTAGGCTTAGGCTATCTTTCCGCTTTAGCCTTCCAAGTAGCTGGAACTACAGACACAGACCACCACACCGTCTTGTTTTTTGTGTGATTTATTGTAGAGCAGAGGTCTCACCAAGTTGCCCAGGCTGGTCTTGAACCCCTGGGCTCAGGCAATCCTCTCGCCTCGGCCTCCCAAAGTGCTGGGATTACAGGCCCCACAATGTTTTCAAGCTTCATCCATGCTATAGCATTTATCAATACTTCCTTCCCTTTTATAGTGAATATTATTCCATTGTATAGCGATTCCACATTTATCAGTTGAAGGACATCTATATTGTTTCTATTTTCTTTCTTGGCTATTATGAACAATGCTGCTAGAACCATTACACAAGATTTGGTGTGAACATGTTTCCAGTTCTCTTGGGAATATACCTAGGAATGGAACTGCTGCATCATGTGGTAACCCCGCTGAACTTTCTGAGGAACTGACAAACTTTCCCACAGTGGCTGTACCATTTTACATTTGTACCAGCATGAAGGTTATACTTTCTCCATATCCTCGCCAACACCTGTTACTGTCTGTTCTTATTCCTTTTTTTCAACTTTTCTTATCGTGATAAAATACAGACAACATAAAATTTAATATCGTACCCATTTTAGGTGTCCAGTTACACTCACACTGTTGTTCAACCATCGCTACCGTCCACCTCCAGAGCTCTCTTCATTTGCAAAACAGAA